TGCGAGATAGCACGTGAATGCAAGATGTAAAAGTAAGTTAAAACAATGAATGCCTCAATTATATGGAAACAAGAAATAGAAATGAAGCAATAAATCCAAATCATAAAAGAAAGAAAATTATAAGAGAGGAGGCTACATAAATTTTCAAATCTCAGTTCACCATGTAATGCTCCCTATTACAAGATTATCACTACGTTTATAAACTGAGAACTCTAATGCATCAATTACTACTTCTATAAAATTTTTAATATTTAAGATATTTATTTAATAATTATCTTACATCGCCAACCCTATCAATAAAATTTGAGATGCAATAAACAAATGTGTGGTGAATATCGAACCTTTGTCTGGCAATTTTATTTTTCTTTATGATTGTATTTGGTATCGATATGGCACACATGCATCTGCATCATAGACATTAAATTTCAAGTTCATATATAATGGAATTACTCTACCAAATTAAAGACGTTTTGGAACTCTAATACTGAATTACTTGATTGTACACACAAACAGAATCATCTGTAACATAATTAACCCCATCCCAACGATGTAAAGTTGTCTTCATAAATTATTATTCCCAACTTACTCTATTTGGGTATTGAATGAGAGGTATTAACTATTTAAAAATCTTTCACAACTCACCATTATCATCTTTAGTTTAACTTTTTTTTTCTTCTCGATCCCTCAAAAAATAATTTCATGTACAAGCTTATCAATGCAATTTCTATCCCTCACATTACAAGCCCAAACCATAAGTTTCTTATCTTCAATAGATTCCCATCACCACTTATAATCATTCTTCAATATTATATTTCTAATTATGTTCCACATCCATCCTAATGCTCACAATTTAACTACACTCAATTGGACATTAATAATTTCCTTATTGCATGACACTGAAATCCCAATAAAAAAAATCTAACCTAATTTAACTACACTCAATTGGATATTATTAAATTCCTTAATGCATGACACTGAAATCCCTATAAAAAAAATCTAACCTAATTATAATTTTATAAAAGAAAATTTTCAATTCCATAATATTCTCTTCTCGAAAAGTACACCCAAGGCACTTTACAATTTTAACAATCGAGCTTAAACTCTAGAATTCATATCATAATGTGTGTACATATATATATATGGGTGAGACCCTGGTATTGATTCGCCCTTCAATCCACCTTCTCTCGTGCTCGACGACGTATTCGACGACAGCTACGAAGGACTTTGCGCTAATCCATTGCGATCGTCCTCTCTTTCGCGCCCAACAACGAAGGGCCTCGGCCTCGTCCATGCGGGCGTCGTCGGGATCGTTGCAGCACGTCGTCGAGATTGTCTTGCAGAGACATCTCTAGCTTCTACAACGTCCGTGGATAAGCGTTGTCCTCTGTGCGATCCGCGCAGTCGTCTGTGTTTCCTCTCTTTTGCGCAGCATCGCCTCTTATGTCCGACTTGTAGCTCTTCTCCCCTTGTCGTTACTTGTTGTGATGGAGCTTCCTCCTTCTTCGGTTGAGCCCGATAAAACCTCTTTTCCCCACGTTGTGGGTAATCTTCAGGGGGAGACGGCGGTTGTCTTCCCCTCAAGTTATAAGGAGAATTGTGATAGTACAGGTGACTGCCCCTATACTAAGAATGCAAGCAGGAATAGTGGAAAGACAGCACTACTTTTCTCTGAGTCAGAAATTTCAACCCTGACTGACAAATTTAAATTTGATCTCATTGGAAAATTTCAGTGGGGACGCCCAACTATGGAAGTTATCAGGAAAAGTTTTGATGACTTCAAATTAGCAGGAAAGTGAAAAGTGGGGCTCATGGATGTGAGACATGTTTTGATTCAGTTAACAGTGACTGAAGGCTACACTCGTATTGTCTCAAAAAAATATCTTAACATCATTGGTAAACCAATGAAACTACTCAAGGGTCTCCTGATTTTGACCATAATCATGAACCTCCTACTGTACCGGTATGGTATAGTCTACCTGGTCTCAAGCTGCATTTTTTTCATCATCAGGTTTTCTACTCTATTGGTGTGATACTTGGGGACCCTATAAAGCTAGATCTACTCACTTTCAACCTTACCAGACCTTTTGTGGTCAGAATACTTGTAGAAAAAGATATTATTTTGTCTGATGTTACTGAAGTCTGGTTAGGTACAACGCATAATGGATATTGGCAACAAATCGTCATGGAGCATAGATCTTCTTATTGTTCTCATTGTAAGATGTTTGGGCATACTCTTGATAAATGTCATAAGCTTTACCCTAATTCGAAATCTAAAGTTCAAGTGAATAAGGATGATTCTAAGGATATATATACCACATGACAGATTTTGGTGTCTGATTCTATTGCCCCTGCCGTTACTATTACTGCGAGTGATGTGATGCTGACACCTTCAAACCCCATAGAAAAAAATATTGATGGACTATTACCTACTGGACTATTACCTACAAATGATAGTGTTCAGACTGATACTCAGAAAAGTCTCGTAGCTCCACTTCTCCAGGAAGTATACGATGTAGAGGCAACTCATACTTCACATATACTAGAACCTATTGTGGGTACTACGGTTGGTATTCCTTCTGCTTAAGCTCTACCCCATCAGACTGATTCTTCGGATAAGGAATGGCAGGTCTATTTCAGGAGGAAGAAAAAGAATGGATGCCGACTCCAACTCGGGAACATATTGGATGATACATTGGTTACTACTGGCAATGACAATCATCTTACCAACTTATTAGTCTGGTCCTTCCCTAAAACTAGAGGTAGAGGCAAGAACAAATTGAGTCGCTCTCTAGCCACCTGATACTATGTATTTTAGCATTGTTAGGTTTTTTATTTTAGTATTTAATGTATTTTCTGTTTTTCTAGTTTTGAAACTTTTTTGTGGTTTTTTTTTGTGGACAGGGTGTCATATTTGGGCCCTCCCACACATTGTATCTATATCTTTTTTTTTTCAATTTAATATATTAATCTTTTGGGCTTTCAAATATATATATACTTCAGCAAAAATACTACTACATATTTAACACGTTAGAGGAAAAAAATCAAGGTAAAAGGTCAAAATACAAGTAACTCAAAAATTTTCTAAAATAATATAAAAGCATAAAAACAGTATGGTCAACTCTAACAATAGTATACAATGAATGAAAATCCCAATCATTTTAAGCATTTATAAAATTGATCTTAAACAAAAATGTCAACAATGAAAAATAGTAACATGTTACAGCATATAGCATGGTGCAGTGTACTAAGTTATTTAAATGACAAGAGGCAACAAAAAATAGTGTATGATATGCGCTATGAGTGTCATAGCGCAGATGGCGCGCCAATGGCATTCTGAGTTAAGTTTTTATGTTTAATGGTTGACTAATTTTTTTAAATTGATTGTATGAATAAAAGAAAATTGATGGACTTTAGGCATATAATGAGTGTTTTAATAGCTAAATTCAATTCTCATGTAAATGTATTTGTTTTATTTTCCACTTGGAGCAGCATTTCATAATTGTAGGAAGAAGAAATCTTTTTTCCCCTTTTACATACCAACAATACTCAATTATTTTATGATATTTATCAATAAAGCTTATAGAATGGTTGCTTAGCTATGTTTGTTATTTATAGAATAAAAACAAGGTTGTAAATTCTTTGTTGATGCACTTATTTTGCCTGTGTCCTTAGTCCTTACATAGCGCTCATAACATTTTTTTTTTCTTTTGTTACTGAAAAAAGGGAAATATTCTGTACCATTAAAACGTTTTTTATGATAGTCTTCTTTCATGCATTTTATATTTTTTTCTCTTTTTCAAAGTTATCAAAATATCAATCAATATATCAAGGCTTGCACTCTGAGTAAAATGACTAGCTTCTCCTTACAGTCTTATTTCACTCTGGCTTGAGGAATAGAGTACCGAGGAAGCACCTTTCAAAGTGTATATATAATCAAATATGATGGACAAATTGACATCTTTTATAAAGATTGGCACATCTATGCTAACACACGTTAATTATAACTACTAAAGGCCAATATGTGTGTGTGTGTGTGTGTGTGTGTGTGTGTCCATCTACTTCTCCTCCGTCAATTCAAGATTCGCTTTTGTTATTTGACTTTCATGTGCTATTAAAGTTGAACTCCTGAATACATGAAAGGCGACTTTTGAAGGTGGATCAAAGATGTTTGAAACAAATTGGCATAGTTTCAACAAAATTATTTAGTTCAAGTAAGGGTACTTACTCATATCCATTTAAGCTGTTTGAAACTAGTTCCTGTTCTTGTTGCTTCATATCTCTACTCCAACAACTTATCAACTTTCACCTAAACTATACAATGCCATGAACTATTAAATCATTGCAAAATTTATATGAAACTAGTAGAATTGTATGGGCCATTGGCTCGCGTATTTAATAATGTTAAAGTAATATTATATCCAATTTATATGATATTGCTAATGCCTATGTTGTATTACAATATTCATGTCAGATGTTGTTGATTTTTTAATAAATTGTTCATGATTTTTATATTTTGTATTGTTTTTAAATGATACATGCCACATTATATGGTATAGTGTGCTAGACAAAAATGACATGTATGATCTTAACAAAAGTTTAGCACTATGCTTAACTTATAACATTTTGGTAACCAAAGATATGCCTGCCATTAAAATATCATAAACTTATTTATGCAATCACTAAGTATCTTTACCCGAACAGAAGCCTTTAATATGCTAAGGAGCTAAATTTATCTTTACCTTGTTTGTGATAGTTCATATGTGCGTAGGAATTAATGTAAAGAATCACTCAAAACAAGCATCCTCATAATAAAAACGCTCAATTAGTTATGAGTTTGGTCATTCCTATCCAATTAATACCAACATAATACTAATAATACTTTCATGAGGCAAAATGAGCAGTGTACTTTTTGATGAAATAAGTTCAAAAATAGAGCAAACTATGTAAGTAACACACATGCAATAGCAGAATATCTCGTGTGAGAATTCGATCCAATTTACCTGGAAATGAGAACTATTGAGGCACCTTCCAATCTGCTTGAATAGTGGAACCATGCAACGCTGAAACTCTGCTGGTTGAGTCGACTCAAGAACCTCTTCCAGTTCTCCTAGGAAGAGCACCTCCTTCTGACAGTTGGTGACTGGCCAATACTTTAGCAACCCCCTTATGACAGTATCAGCAAGCTTGAAATCCTTCTCCACAAACTGGGTGATACAGTACGAGAGCTGCTGATGGTAAGCCGACATTCCCTTCGGCTTGTGAAGAGGGATAAGTGCTCGGACCAGGAACAGCTTGTGCTCCTCCTTCATTGGCAGAGCAAAACCGTTAATTATACTACCCAGAATCTCGAGTAGCTCACCAATTCCGCTGTGCCGCTCGGTCTCAAAAATAAAACGATAGAAAATGTTGTTGATTGCCTTGCGAATGAACGGGCGATGAACCATGAACTTGCCGTAGATGCGATGAAGAATGGTCTTGAGATACTCACGCTCACGGGGGTCTTCAGAGTCAAATAGATCAAGAAGACGGAGAACGAAAGAATGATCAATATAGCGTTTGGCGATCTTCGTATCAGTGTCTGACGACACGACGTATCGAAGAAGAAGCTCGTAAACAATCTGGAGGTGAGGCCAAGAGGGATCGAGGTAAGATTCTTCCTCCTCGGGATCAGCGTTCTCGGAGCCAGAGTTCTCATGAGAGGCCGGGGGCAGGCAGCGGAAGATGTTGTTTCCGATCATGCGAATGAGGTCCTCCTGAACTGCTTCAGTCAGGCGGCCAGAACCAGCGTGAATGAAATCAACGAGCTCCACAAGGGTCTGTCGTTTGGTCTCTTTCTCGCGTGCGAACTTAAGGGACTCGGAGAACTCGAATACGATATTGCAGATCTGAAGCTTTCGTTGGAAAAGAGTCTGGCGCTCGGGCACTGGCACATCACGAAAGAGGGGGAGGTTCTCGATCTGGGGAGTGACGCTAGTGACACCGGTGACGCCGGGGGAGCCAAGCGGCGACTGGTGCTGGGGTCCCGCGGTGGTGGCGGTGGGACGAGACGCATGGTTTATAGTGACGTTGGAAGTGGATACAACCGGACCACCGGCGGAGCGGAAAGCACCGGAGAAGACCGTGGGCTCGTTAGCATCGGATTTGGGGACCTTCCGGCCACCGCGTTTCATGATCTTGTTGAACATGTTTCGTCCCCCCCGTTGATCAGATCGCGTCAAAACTCCGATAATTGTCGCGTTGGCCCTCGATCAATCAAGGGCCGGAACCCTAGTTATAGAGGAAGATGCCGATGAGAGATTAGCCGTAAAAAACGTGCGCCGCCGGTAACCATCGGAAACGGATCGGATTTCTACAACGCATCGAAGCCCATTTTGATCTTTCTCGTGCAGCGAGAGTGACAATGGGATGAAAGGAAAGCCGAGCTGAGTGGGAAGAAGGGTGGGGAAGGGGATGACTGATTAAAATGAATTATTTATAGAAAATTTTAAATAAATACCACATATATTTAAATTTTGATATTAATGCTTTAATATTTTTTTTTAATTGAGTAAATATAAAAAAAAAATTATTTTATTATCTTTAATATCACTTCAAAAATATTTTTTTATTTATTTTTTAAAAATGAGATACACATTTTCATGCATAAATTTATTAGATTAAAAAATTATAAATATAAATATAAATATTATGTGAATACATTAAATTTAGTATATTTTTTTTTAATTTTTGGTGAAAAGTTTGAGTGTTATAGTTGTAAAAATGAAATTAGTCCAAAAAGTAAAAAAACAATATTTTTTTTGCATCCAAATATTTTATGAGACAAATAAAATAACTATTTTGCATTATTCAACTTATTAATTATATCGCAAGAATTTGATGCTTATGTTTATAATATTGGTTTAATGTATTTCAATTTGTTGAATATCTTTAGGTCGTAAAATCTTGTATGATTGATGAACTAAAACAATTCGGAAAAGATCTTACAGAATGAGGGAGCGTAAGCTGAAGGATCTATTAAGAGAGATGATCAAAGAGTTTGTTTAGAGTCCATGATTGAGAGAAACCTCAACTTTACTTTTAATATATATATATATAATGAAAAGAA